CCTCTACTGTAGTTGTCTGAGCAAGAAGTTTATACTCCGGCGGCATGCTGTAAGATGTGACTAGGATCTCTAGGTTTTCCAGCCATTCGAGGCCCAGTGCGGTCATCGTTTCGATCCACCTTAGGAGTCGCTTGGATAGAAAGACCGTCATTTGAGACACCAACATATTATCATGGCGGTCCTCGAGATCGCTGATGTGTCGAACGAAGAATTGGCAAGCATAGCGCAGTGCACCACTGATCGTAAGTCCTTTTGCCATACTGTCCTGGCGCAGCTGACCGGAGTTCGAAATCTCTACATCCAATCGTTCGTTGAGCGTCTTCACACACTGGATGGCGATCACCAGGTTCCAGTAGGGCAGATCAATGCAGAAACCCGGGCAACGTTTCTTGTCCGTCAGAAATTCGAAGAGCGAGGTATGCACCAAACGCAGCGGGCCATTGGCACCGAGAGACGGAGAGCTCGTAGAGAAAAGAGATCTGATTGATGAAATGAACTGCCTTGCACCCTCCATGGAGAACGGCTCCGAGCCGGGAAGATGGACCTCGTTATAGCAATCGTCGCGTAGACCGAGCAAGACATTCAAGTCATCGAGTCTGAAGGGCTTCTTCCCAGCGGCAATACACCCTACAACGTATGCAAATTCGAGAGGATAGTTCGGGTCGCGATCGCGGGCCTCGTACGCAGATCGGATGACAGAGTCATACAAGGCGTCGAGCTGCCGACTTCCGCCATGAGTGGCAACCTTCGCGGACAAGACCAAAGACAAGCGGGACTGGGGACTGTCGGCGATGAATTGGCAAGTCACATGCGCCCACTGGAACTGCCGATCTGCGCGTTCGGCCAGCTTCACGTCCGCTCCCGAGGGAGGCCAGCCATCCTCGATCTTTGCGAGAGCCTGGATTTCGCTTAGACGGTGTTTGACGAAAAGGCGGATATCTGCAGGGGTATCCTCGTAGTCATCAAGGCTGAGGGCTTCGCATCCGCCTCGGGTTTGCAGATGCAGACGAATATAGGGATCGTCTCTGCTAGTTATGAGTATCTTCACGTAGTCTGGCAGCGCGAAGTCCTTGTTCGAAAAGAAGGCGAGGATATCTTCCCGTATACGTGTGTCGCGGTGTCTAATCTCGTCCAATGCATCGATGACAATCACTACGGGGCCAACCAGATCCACGGATTGAAGAGGCCGAACGATGATCCTCATTGCCTGGTCAGGTAGGGCCGCAGATGGAATTTCTCCTCTCTGAGTCAGCACAGAGAGCATCGTGTCCTTGACCGACCTGTCTATCCGCGCCAACTGGTATGCAATCTGGCGGAAGAACGCCGATGGGTCGACCTGTTTGTCAAACCGATAGCTTGCGCCGAGGCGGCCTAATCCCTTCAAAAGCCCAGCAACGGTGTTGGCAACACTGGACTTGCCCGTTCCGACGGGACCTGAAAGCCAGAGAACACGTCCGCGCGAAGGATCATGGATCCACTCTGTGATATCTTCGATCACCTTGGTGCGTGTCCCGAGAAGGCAACCTCGAGTAGTATCGCATTCGACGACGGTTGCTTGACCTTCAATCAGTGTGTATAACCAGAGCTCTTGAACTGCGATAATTCAAGCTCAGCAATTTGAGCTGCCCGAGCGCGAAGAACGTACGGTGGTCCTTTATTTCGCCGAGATCGTCTCCCAAAGCTCTGAGACATTTCCAATTCTCAAGACTGACACCTCGACTGAGTTTTTCCTTCAAGGTCTGAAACGAGTCAATCAGAAGCTGCAGAGCGTCGTCTTTATTTGGACTCAGGGTATTTCGAAAAGTACGTCCTGATTCTGGTGAGTATATCTTATGATCATATTAAGGCTTCGCATACCTGCAAAACCATGCTCTGCGTATCTCTTGAGGAACTGGCAGCATTCATAAATCTGTTTCACTACATCGGTCACTACCTGATTGAGATAGTCGGCTTTCATGGGCTGCTCTTGGACCCCATTGAAGAACGCGACGACGTCCTGTACTGTGTACCAGAGGCTTCGTACTCGATCATCACGTTCAACCTGGGCCCTCAGTACCTGTACAATCATAATCAATGAAGAGGATGCGACTGAACAAAATGTGCTCACGAACCTTGTAACCGCTGCTGAGAACCGACCAAGCCAGTTTTGCGTACGGATGAGCCTGCACGTCAAAGAGAGATCTATATACTGTGCACGGAATAACGGTGAACTTCCTCACCTCGGCGAATACATCACCGATATGTATTAGGCTCCCCAGGACGTTAGAAATGACCTCGCCGGTAGCTTGCAACAAGTCGCTGCTTGCGGCACTCTCTGAGTCGTTCATGACTGAGCCAGCTTTTTCGAGTGACGAAGGCGTTGACAGTGCCTTCATACTGACGTCGGCTTCATTCAGCGCCGCAGTCAACGCTGAAAATTTAGGTTCGACAGGCGGTAAAGAACCTGGATCCAACTGCATAAAAAGTGTTGGGAGACCCCCTGGGAGAGGGCCGAATCCCAGCGCACGGACTTCAGGCTCGCTTTCCGATCCCGTAGAAGGAGATGGGCTTTTTCGTTGCGATGATAGTGTCTCAGTCGCATTAATGAGGGTATTGCCGGATATGAACAACTCGCCGCGATTGCGACGGAGCTTCAGTCCTGGCTTTGTCAATCTACATCGAACATCTGTGGACCATTAACAACTCGTGATACAGTCACACGTCGCTCGATCGGGATAAATAAAACATACCATTTACTTCGTCACGCAACAAGGCATCGACAAGGACATCTGTCTCCCCCAGCAAGATCATCTCCGAGGCGTTCGGGCTATGGAAGACTTGAAGTCTGATCGTGGATGATAGGCTCGTAGGCCTGGATACGAGATGGCGATAAGCAACGTTCTTAGTCAAAAGCTTCGGCCGTACCTCACGACGAAGTGCTCATTCCATACTGGATTCGATCCGCTGACAGTCTCAGTGCGAAACAGGTGCTTCCCTCCCGGCGTTCCCAAGACAAATGACAGCAGGGCAGGCTTCCACAGCAATGGCGAAGGCAGATCTCGGGCCCGAACGACTGGCAAGATCGCAGTGTGCAGGTTAGCTCAATAGCATGCGTACGAAGTCCATACAACTGGATGATCACGCACTTCTGAGATTGATACATCTGCAGACGCCACCGCGGATCGTCAGCGTGTCGAGGGCTAGCCAGGTCTCATAGAGAACGCACCTCTCGTCTTCTTCCATATGGAAACAGGGTATGGCAGCTGCGTTAACGCTCAAAGCGCTATGAGTGAATGTTGGCGCCCATGTACTAGGGTACCAATTACGGCCACCAAAAGGAGATTAAACGACGCCATCAGATAACCGTAGGATATTTCGCCGTGTCAAAGGAAATCGTTATGCCGTAGAACATATAATAGCAGAAAATGGAACTCAAGCTCAAGCATAGCGGCATCATGACGAAGAGGAGGCGTTCAAGTCAGCACGGCAACGAGCAAGCCTGAGGAAAGTCTGAATATTCCCACGAGTGCTATCGGTTTACTGTATGTATCTCAAGCGACTACGTAGAATACAACATCATGCACATGCACAACGTCATGGCAAGCACCGGAAAGTAAAGCCCGTTAAAGAAATACAGCATTTATATTTTGACCATCCCTATTCGATGTTTCCCGGCAGGTCAAGGTCCTTCGGCATATTCTGTAACCTGCCTTCCATCCCGCCCTCTACCATCACGACCTGACCTGTGACATGCCCGGAGAGCTTCGTCGAAGCAATGACTGCTATCTGGCTCGCAATGTCTTCTGGCTCTGCGACTTTCTTGAGAGGCGTTCTGGAGAGGATAGTCAGAAACCATAGCTACATTATGTCGCTAACAGGAAACATACGTAGCAAGTGCACGATAGACGGTGAGAGGATCCTTCAGAGACCCCTCGGCCATAGGTGTCCTCGTCCATCCAGGTGCTATGCAGTTTACACGTCCTTTAGGTGCGATCGCGACGATCTCGTTCTTGAGTGACAACAAGAAGCCGTACATGATAGCTATCGCGCGACGAGTAATTAGATCCATTGTGGTGTTCTGTATTCGACGAGCTTACCACTTTTACTAGCTGCATAGTCTGCATTGCCCGCCTCACCATACTTCCCTGCCGTACTTCCGACCAGAACGATGGAGGCTCTTTGTCCGAACCGATTTGTACCCACCACCCGGCCCGGAGCGACACCCTGCTGGAGTCCACGCATGTATTCACGCGCAACCAGAAATGACGACGTCAGATTATCATTCATCGTCGATTCCCACTGCTTCAGCGAGATGTCCTTCACCGCCGTCCACCCGCTTGTAGATGTCGCGTGATTGATAATTGCTACCTCCACCGGGCCAAAGCTGGTCTCCAGAGCTGCCGTGTTGAAGAGAGACACGACCGCCTCTTCGGATGTGAGATCGGCTCCAGCAAGACGGATGCGTGAGGGTCCATAGGCCTCCGCCAGGGGCTGCAGCTTCGCATCGCTGCTGCGAAAGTGCGCCGTTACATTTGCACCCTGTTCTAGGAGTCGCGGCGTAAGAGGGGAGAATCCGGCAAGTCAAGCATCCAGCACTCGCGTATGTGTACCTAGGAATGTGCGCGTCGCTGCGAAGCCAATTCCGCCGTTCGCACCTGTTCAACCTATCGGTGAGCATCCAAATTCCAATCGGTCCAGCATGACGAACAGCCTGTTCCGAAAGAAAAAAGGACTGAGCAAGAAAAAGTTACAAATTACATACCTGTGACGAGAACATGTACGCCTTTCAAGTCGAGATCCATGATGGTACTTTCGAAAGGCAGCCTGAGAGGGCGAGAGCGATGAGACGGCCCGGTGTCCCCAAGGCCATGGGGATTCGGCCTTTTCCGGACCGCATTGATCGGGGCTTGCCGGGCCGTGGCGCGGATAATGTGCTCCCCCTGGGTCCTCGTCTCGATGTTGTACGCCAGATCGAGCGCTATTTTTTATTAGAAAAAAATAACCGGAAGAAACACGAACTATGATCCCTACCCGGATTGAACGGATGACCTTGCGGACGCGCCGGTGGCTGGAATCGCACGCTCTACCACTGAGCCAAGGGATCATTATTACTTTTCAATACTGAAAGGATGTGCTCAAGTGTGCATTCGGTGTAACAGGAGGATGCGAAAGTCTAAGTGTGTAGCCGTCTGTGATCCCATACCATCTCCCGGCCCCACAGGTTCCTGTGACATCACAACGCATTGAAAGCCGGCGAATTACTTAGTCGGATCGCCCTCCAAGATCTCACGCGACCTTCTCTATGCACACCCAACGAATATAACAACCTTAATCCCATGATCCAAGCAGCCCAAAAAGCAGAGAAAACAAGATGTCGTATATCTAAACAGAGCTCCTCATACAGGCAGTGTGTACCGAACAGGCCCACTCCACCCTATATCGTGCCCCCTCGACGAAAACACCGCTCATGCGACGGGCATCACCTTGTGCTCGAGCCTCTCCGCATCCTCCTGCTCCGCTTCGGCAGAGCCGCCGTCTTCCGGGATGGCCTCGGTGTCCTTCATCGACTTGAACTTGAGGTGCGTCATCTTGACCGCGCGCGAGTCGGTCTGAGCGAATTGTTCGGTCTATACATAGGGGGCGTAGGCATTACTTAGGTTACCGCTTTAGGTGCGAAGGAGGCAAAGAGGGAGGGCACGCACGGCAACGTTAAAAGAGGTTTCCGCGCCTCGGCCATCCAGTTCGGAGCGGAGCGAGACGCGGTTATTCAGAGTCTAAAGTGGCCAAGCAGTTAGACGTAATCCGGTGGTTAAACTGAAAATGCGAACGTACGGTCATGAGGGTATTGCTATATCAGAAGACATCGCTCTTCAATAGCCCAACATACAAGCAAGACGCGACGTACGTATAAATCCGTCCCATAGGCTACACTGAAGTCAGTTCGCGCACTGAAAGACTATATTCAAGCAACTTACAAGAGCGAAAATCAAATGGAAATTTGTGGTCTGAAGCGTAGTCTGGAACGTTGACGGCGCCATCAGCAACAGGTCCGACACGCGAAGGCGGAGAACGGAGCACTCACAAATGTAACCAGGTCCATAATCTTATCAAATCGATATAAGAAGCACGCGAATGCGCGCGGCGTCGTAAGTCAGGGTCAGAATGCAGCTAAGCGAAACGGGGAGTCCGCGGAGCGGAGCGCAGAGGGACGTACGCAAAAAAAACTACCAAAAGCGGCTGTCTCGACCGCAGAGCGTATAATCCGCCATATGACATTGTCCGTTTCTGCGCCCGCCCGCGCGATTAGCCTCAAGAATAGGACGGAACGAACAGATGCGTACTGTGGAAGCCCGTGCGGCTCTTGTAAAGGAATCGCATCAGAAGAAGCCTGGATGCCGCGAAAAGAAGTTCAGCAGGTTAACGCCGATGTCAGCGCCGGACAACGTACGTGATAGATAGGTCGGTCACGACGGCGATCGCTAGCCAGGAATCGACCACCGGGATGAGGTGCGTGAACTGGTCGATGCTGGGAGGACATCAGCAATGCGGTCGAAGAGCAAGTGAGGGCGGGTAACGCACTTTGGCGTTTTGAGAGCGCCGATTGCGCCTGCGCAGCCCAAGGCGCCCTGCGCGAAGGCGAAAACGACGATCACGGCAAAGAGCCATATGGAGTGGGAGAGCTGTCGGATGCGCCAGGCAAGAAAAATCTGTATCGGGACAGATGCACTGCGCGAGGTGGTCAACGGGCGGCGGGGATGTGAAGATCGGGGCGCTGCGCTCACAAAACGGTAACGATCGGAGTGGAGGGGAAAGGCCAGGGTGCGGCGTTCAGAATTGCGGGGTTGTTGAAGTTAATGACGACGTAGTCCCACAGCATGTACACCGATGCTGCGGTGTGGAACGTGTCGAGTAACATCACCCATCCGACCAAAAACCTGTGATATCGATCGCCGTCAGTCTGCGCACAGAGCCACGCCCCGAAGGCTGAAGCAGCCACGCACCGGATGACATTCCTGTCCTTGTATCCCTGTTGATAATAAGAAACCCACTGAACGCAGCATATCCCGTAGAGGAAGACATTCGTCACCGTAGCGGTGACGACTGGCCCCAGGATCAACGAGACATGCTCAGACATCGCGCACTTCTACTGCCTCAACGTCAACCTCCGTCCCAAGCCTCAGACTCGAGTTCTGTTGCCTCCTCGGGTCCCAGGACCTCAACGTAGCGAGATTTCGTGTGCGGGGATTGCTGGTGGGCGGCGCTGCAAGGGCATACGTCGCTGGGTGGAAGGGGCCGAGAGACGGACTCAAAGCTAGCGGCCTGAGGGCGTTCGACTGGTAACGGGTAGCCCGGATGTGTGCGGCCTTATATTAGAGAGCGAATCGAGGCTTCTTTGAGGTCCGCGTCATTTATTGGCGAGAGCGAGCCAAAATGTTCTGTTGCCGTGCGGTGCGGGACGGTTCATTACGGAAATGGGACCCGTGCGCTCTGCCGAGCGCGCTTCAATTGGCCAAGCGCTTGTGCCACCCCCAAGGTCATGAGCATGTGCGCATGTGGACATCTTGTCTGTGCGTCTCCGTCCGCGCAATTTGTTGTTTTTGCAGGTTATTTGGCCCAGGCGGTGGTCTGGCGCAGCAAGAAATGGTCTTTGGCCTCGTCGTGCAAGCGGTTTTACCCTTCCAACGCTTCAAAAGTTTAAATGACAAGAATACATCGAAGCCCTGCCTGTCGTCGTCAGGCGTCGCTTACGTGCGTTTGGATGGAAGTTTCCGAGAGCTGAGGCCAACAATTTGGAAATGCAACGTGCCTGCGTACCTATGTTATCATGATTCTCTCACACCTCACAGCGCCGAGATGGCCTTTGGGTTGTCTCTCAAGCGCACTTTGCTCTGCAATGCGGGAGTATGCACGAAAGGCTAGAGGCGCGAGGGGGAAGATAATAAAATAGCGCTATTCGGAAGAGACGCTTCTGCCGCCGATGTAGCTGTCACCTGTCCACGACGGCGGCCAGACTCCATCAAGCCGCATCGAAGCACTTCGAAATCAACAGGGATCCATAGGCTATCACGGCCGATTGCGTGGGACACGCAAATTGCAGGCGTTGCCCACGGTCCTCGGGGAATGCCATGACGGAGACGGAGTCTTGCATTGTGGTTCATGGTACTGCTACCCAACTCGAAGCAAATTCGAAGGCATCCGACGGATAATGCATAGACAAAGCAGGAAAGCAAGTTGATTACGGAGGGTGGTACCCGCGAGCGGTGGTATATGTAGTTAGCCTGCCAGCAGAACGAAAATACAAATCAAAATAAATATAGGGGACAGGGTAGCAGGGTAGCATGTGCGCGGTCGTCACCGCAAAAAGAGCATCAGTCTGAGGTTGCCTTATGACACAGGTGGCGTCGCAAGCGATTGACACAAATCTTCTAGTCTGCAACCGCAGCGAGATAGCCCTGGGAAATCGAGAACAAATATCAGAATGCCGTTGTCAGAATATGACAAGAAGCGCGACGCCACTGACCTCGCGATCCGCAAGAAACTCCCCGTACACAAGCGCGACAGCGATCCAGAAACCTACGTCCACGCCCAGCTTGCGCATCTCCTCCGTATTGAGCTCGAAAATCCCCGATGTCGAGTTGAGCGTGAACACGGGAGTTGTGTCATGAAACACCAGCAGCGGCGTCGGCGGCAATCGGTGCGGGCGAGCCGCTGGAGCAGACGGTCGCGAGCCTGGGCCTGACCCTGACGTGCCGTCAAGTGGAGGCGCAGGCGGCTGTGGGGGAGCGGGCGGCAGCTCGCAGATCATAAACGAGTTCGACGGCGCGGGGGTATTGTTGCGGAAGGCGCGTAGTGCACGCGAAAAGAAACCCTGGTCCTGCTGTGGTTCTGGCGCCGCAGGTTGTACGTGTGGCGCGAGCAGAAATTCTGTGATCTGCATGCGCGGGCGGGACAGACGGTGTGCCGGCAGCGGGGACAGGGAATCCAGCTTTGCCCGGACGGAGCGCGGGGAAGGCGGAGACACGAGAATAGCGGGCGGCGTGGGTGACGGAGGGTATGTGTGCGACACGGGGCTTTGAGAAGGCTCAGTTAGGGTGTCGTCAGACTCCAGGGAGGATTTCGTGGAAGTGGAGGGCGAGGAGGGGTTGAGTGGTGGTGGCGGTGGCGGCGATTGTGAGGACGAAGGGTACGACGGAGATACCGGGGATGTTGGGACATTGGTACGGCAGGAGAAAAAGAGCGCAGCTTGGGTGTGATGTGGCGAGTTTTTGGGCAATGGTAAAAGGGAGATGTAGACGGAAGGGGGGAAGGTTGGCGCACGTAGGCGGATGTACCAGCCCCGAAGCGGCCGGTGGATAGTCCACAGTAGCGTTGATGTAGCATTTTCCTAAACACCAAGATCGAACCTTGAGAATTACCTAAGACTGGGAAAGGTGCGCACCACGACATGCTCGATAATTTCATCCTCGGCGAGGTATCTCTCCTACAGCGCGCTAGTTCAACGATGGCGACCATGACTGACGCGACTACACGTACCTTGTACCATATGACGCGCTCAGAAGCCTCTTCCAACACGTTGACTTTGTTCTCTGAGATGACATCCGAGCTGCAAGAGGTTGTAGAGCGTTCAGCATCATATGGGGTACATCATCCTCTCACATACCTCCGCACTACGTAGCGGGCAGTCTTGGCGGGCATGGGGGCAGTCGTCGGCAACATCTTCGTGCAAAGTGCTGGCTAGTCTTCTGAAAGAATTGAGGGAATAGTTTAGCAGCAACCAACATACAAGTGTCCGGCAAATGACACTAGCATGTACACTAGCAATGCAAGTTTACTAGGCGGCGCTGGCTTGCTGCAATGTCCGGTCCGTGTCGGCCCGAAAACACCTTAGGCGCTCGTCTCCGTCGCGTCGCGTAAATCGTTCACTTGCAATTGCTGGTTCAAACGTTCACTCCTCAACGTTCTACCCAGTCGCAAATGCCTCCAGGCCAGCTCTACAACTGGCTCACTGTTGCGCACAGCGTCGCTGATATCCTCGAGCATGCGACGCAATACCGTGGAGCACAGCTGACTCGCAATGGCGCTGCAGTGGGCGGCAGGAAGCGG